CCCCCATCACGGGCACCGACAGTCCCGTCAGATCCACGAGCACATCCAAGATCACCCGCATGTACTCCCGCATCGAGCCCTGGAGGTAAAACAGGTCGTGGATCCCTTTGGGAGAAATCCCCGCCTACATCTAAGGTCGATTTTCGTTAGCTCGGACACTTTGACAAGGTCTATCCAACTACCCTCATATGCACCGCCTCAGAGGAACCTCTCAGCTTGTCGATCGATGCGATCCCCTCATCCTTCAGCCACGTCGTCCCGGTAGAGTTGAGTAGACACAGTCAACCTGAGCAACCCCAATTCCCAGTAGATGGAGGAGTCTTCTTGTCTTGCCGCAGCGCGAACCTTTCCATCGCTCCGATCGAGGTTGAGATACAGCGCACCATATGGTGGCCTTCGGGGCGTGTACTCGCTCTTGACCCTGGCGAAATTCACAGCCGTAATTACCTTCTGCACGCGGTCCGCCTGGCCATCAGCGCCCTCTCCCTCACGCAGTCGAAATTCAGAAAGAGCCACACTGTGCCTACTGGCTGGCACCCAGATCTCACCGCCCAGAAGGTCAAGGACAGCCACATCTTTCAAGACATTGGAGACGTCAGAGATGATGTCGCGTCTCCTTGTCTCAGGCCTCCAGCTGCCCCACACCAGCATAGGACCCTTTATGGAAGATCTCCCTTCTTGCTTGGAAATGTCGGACCTGAGCTCGTCCAGGCGTTCGACCCTTTTCACAGCCTCAGCAAGATCCTGCTTCAATTTCTCCATGTCACCCACAGTGGACTGCATTTGTCTGGAGGGATCCTTCTTAACCCCCTGCACCACCTCAGACATTCTGGCTTCGCTCTGGTTCATCCTCTCTGCGCTTGCCACCCACTGAGGCCTGTCTGCTCCCGCTGCGGCCTTCTAGCTCAACATCCACGGGGCCCTCTAGATCCAAGTCCACAGCTTGCCCTGGTAGACCCCCATTGGTAGCATCCATGCTCCTCGATCTTGTCCCGAATCTCACCCTCGAGGTCTGCCTCTGAGAAGAGCACCCGCCGAACACGGCCCCCTTGTGCAGAATCGCACCGAGGAGACTCTAGTCCACCGGCAGCCCGCACGCGACCGAGGCTCAGCAGCCCATGGCTCAAGAGAGGGGGTTTAAGAAGCGTTCTGTTCCTTTTAGGGTTCAGGATCTAAAGTCATTTAGGTCCATTTTGGTCAACAACAGGAATTTATTTATGTTCGTCCAGAAAGGCTTTGCTGGCAGTGCAGCGGATTAGAATCCTTCGGAAACCCGGATCATCCCCCATCTCTTGGCGGCCAGAAAAAAAGAACGGGAGGCCCCGTCTTCTCCAATGTGTCAAAGACAGGCAATAGCAGAGCTTCACATCGTTCTCAATGTGGATTTAGGTGTGGGCACATGTGGCACCAGCTGGGTCCCATCTCCTGGATTGCATTGCTTTCTCGATCTTTCCTCTTCTGGAGTCGTATTACTACTCTTGGAAAAACCAAAGTCCACAGTAACGTAGCGTGTTCATGGTGCTCCCTGTCTGACAGGCAAACAGCAAATGTCAGCGATGAGAAAGTGTAAGATCTGGAATCAACCAGCAACATGAGTCATACCTGAGTGTGAGAGCATGAGATGCTTCCAAGATGCACCATGTCTGGCCGCTTTGGTGCTGAAGCGAATCCCTTTGAATGCACCTGGCACAAGCTCGAAGGATGAGGCTCCGCAGCTACTGCCTTTTGCTCAGCAATCACTTTGCAGTGTGCAGTGGACTGTGATCGCCCTGCGTTGGTGGCCAGTGAGGCTGTGTGCATTACAAAGCAGTCTTCTCCTGCCAATGTACGATCATGGGTATTTTATTGGTGGAAACTTGTCACCCTGCGCGCGCATTCCTGAGTTTTGCCGGTTGTTTGGTTTCAGTTCGCATTGGTCAGCATCTTGAAGGTTCTGGCCTGATCTCATAATTAACAATATCTCCATGTGAAAGCCGCAAGAAATGCAGGATCACAGGAAGAGGACGAGCCCACTGCTTTACTTCTTGAAGGCTACTTTGAACAGAGGCTCCTACTAGTTCCAAGCACTGTCATTCTTATCAGCGGCATCTTGGCGCAAAATGGAACATGAAGTCCTGTTCTGATGGTTTGTTTTTGGGGAGACCGCGGACTAATTTTACCTGGCTACCATGCTGGGGTGAAGAAAAATTGCCACCCTGGCACCTCATTGCTCAGCGGCTGCTCTATGCTGTCTTGCAACGACCCTTCAGCGCCCTGCTTTGCCAGAAGCTGGTTCATCTCCTGCTTTTGCTCAGCTAGATATGAGGTGCAAGGATCATGAGGGATGATGCAGACCACGCGCAACATGTGCATCCTCCTCGACAGAGCTAGGAAGCCGTGGTTGTAGACTGACTTGCCCTACATCAGCAGAGGAGCTCTGGAAGTGATATTTGCATCTCTTTGCGGCCTCGAAGCTCATGAGCCACTTCGGACGCACGCTCTTCATCGGAGGTTGCCTTTGGCTCATCTTCGCCCCTGACAAGCGAGGAGCGAGGGTGCACAAGTCGCAGAACTTGCTGGTTCCCTGCCTGCCCAACACAGAACCACTGTTGCTCTCTGCAACCACCGAATTGCAGTGTGACTCACCTGCAAGGCAATGCCCTGCCCAAGCGGTTCTGCTGGAGACGAGACTGGCAGATACTGTACTGCCTGCATCAATGAAGGAGGGTCCGGAACTTTCCACTTGCGCAAATGACCTGATTCCACGACAGAAAACAAAGAAAACTGCAGACGTGCTCTCGGCGCTTGGGCCAGGTCTCGGGTGCAGAACCAGCGGACTCCAAGTCATCTGTAGAACCCCAACGAGCCATTCACGAGTAGCACGAAATGTGAGGTCTGCACGTAGTACATACTGTCGAGCGCTCTGAGCAGAACCATGAACAATTTATTCCATGCCATCTGGGGACCTGAGACTGTCAGTCCGGTTTGCTTCTTGACTTGGCACATGCTACATAAGTCGATATGTTCTGATCCAATCAGCTACACCACATGCCCACGAAGCTTCGCACTTTGCAGGCCAAGGAATGCAAAGATGGGTATCACTACACAGCAGACAGAGCAGCACAAGCCTTTCACAAGCCGAATGCTTTGATCGCAAGCTCCAGCACCCTGACTTTGCAGGGCTTCATCGTTCGCGAAACGCGTCCTACCTGTAAGTCGAAGACGGCCAGCTCGCCATGCTCGCCTTGCCGACCAGTCAAAACACGGATGAGCACACATCCTGAATCTGAGATTGAAGCCGCATTCGGGTCGACCCCGAGCTGAGCACTTCCTGCAAGACCGTTCAAATTCACACTGAAGCTTTTGCAAAGCCGGTGGCCTCGTGAAGAGAAGGCACCGGAGTCCTTCCATCGGCGTGAGTTTTGCTTCTTGCAGAAACTCTGCAGATTTCTTCTGCCTGCGCTGCGAGGAATCCTCTCAAAGGCAGGAAGGCCCCCTGTCACGGAAGTGGACGCTGTTCGTTCAACAGCCGACGCGTATAGGACTTGGGACAGCTGCCATGCCTCGTCCGAGGAATCTTTCCAGGAAACCTATCATACAACAAATGCAACAACAACTGGCATGTTTGCTGCAAGAACAGAACTATCAAAACACAAATCACTCAGCAAGGCAAGCAATAAGACTGCGGCTTGCGCTTTGCCTCGCCAAAGCACAGGTGACACAAAGAGACCGGAATTACGCAGGTTCCTGCTGGTCGCTTAGCTCGAACCGGTCTTAAACGGGATGCGAAGGCCATGACGTCGCGGTTCTATGGGAAGACGGGAGATTCCTAAAAGCATTGCAAAGTGGTTAATTTGTGGAGATCTGGCGTCTAGGGCTGCGTTTGCCTCCTTCTCTTCTGCATTGCGAGCGAGACCTTCTTGGGTTCTCACTGTTTCTCAGGGGCCCAGCTGTCAGTTCTGGTAAGGGTCTTGCTAGCTTGCAGGACTTTCGTCCTCACTTAGATTTTTGCAACCCTCCAGCATCCTGCACTGAGCAGGTCAGGGCATTCACTCACATCACCTCACTTAGCTCTCCAATCTTTTTTCTATTATGTAGGACCGGATTTACATCTCTGCTGCACGGCTACTTCTTCCAACTCTTGGCGGCCTAGCATAATGACGCCTTGCCCATGAAATCTTCAACGCGAGGCATGCGTAGCAACTCAAGCAGACAAGGGCCAGGCAAAGATGAGACAGAAACGTGCAGGGCTGACCAGATGATTCTCAAAACAAAGCCGCCGAGGCCGGAGGCCTGGGGCGTTTAGATCCAGGTTCGGGGACTAGGAAAGTAATTTAACCAACCCCCTCACCCCTTCAGACAGCACGATTGGGTAGGATCGGCTCTTTTTGTGTTTCTATAGGGCGGCAGGGTTCTGCTGGGATGGCCCAGCTTCTGAATCTCGACCTCTGCCGAGGTGGTCTCGCTTTAGCGGTTTAAATTACGTTCAAAGCCGCTCGGATGGACGCAGCTAGGCCTTCCCATCATGACCCCTGTAGATCGCCTTCGCGAGCGCACTCATACAGCATACACGCATGCTTTTGTTTGAGGTTTAATCGCATCGCGACAAGCACAGCACGCACACTTTCCCGAGGTAAGATGCGCGGCACAACCCACATTTCTCATTGCACTGTGGTTGAGGTGGAGCATTCAAAACTAAGGCTGAGACTATATATAGCTTAGACGGTCAGTCCTAGGTTTCGCGACGGCAGTTGCCCTGAAATCTAATGCTGCACCATCTTTTAACCGCCAAAATCGGAAAACGGAACTCGGGTACCCTTTGAGACCGCGAAGAACGCCGGCTTTGCTATCGGCACTCGTGCCTCTTTGCACAACTTAAAGAACCTCAGCTTTGTCATTCATGTTTTTGCACGAAACGCCGCCTTCAGCTGGATGACGGCGTGCGCTTCCCTGAAGCTCTGCGCACACTCGAGACAAGGCAAGTTTGCCCATGGCTCAGCAAACTGTGGAAAGCTGAGGCATTACACACGGACCGGCTTCTGTTTGCAGTGATCGTTGCACAAGCCTGCCGAGAGATCACACGCAGCATTGGTTTTGTCAGAGTCTACACGAAGCCCAACGTTGAGGTCTCAACTCAACAGCGCACAAGTGAGGCATGATCCTGTGCGGTCAAACGGCTATTTCATGATTATTTCCTCTGATTAGATGTCTGGACATCTCACAGGGCCGCTTTCATCCGTTCTACATCTCAGCTGGAGTAGGCTTGGCAGGCGGCTGCCGCCTTGTAGATCTTCTATGATGTGGTAAACTCAGCTTGTTCACCGAATGAAAAGCACCACATTGCACGTGTGGTCAGATTCCTCCAAACAAACCCATGGCCAGCCACGGAAGCCATGCCTGCACAAGAGAAAAGTTGCGCAACTACGAGAGCTAAGGTGGACTTGTCAAGAGATTCAGCAAGTTTCCGGAAGCCGAACCTTCTTGATTCCACAAGCGACCCTGCACACGACTTACCCTCTAAGCCTTGCTTTGCTTCAAACCCTCCTCTACTCCGCGCAGTCTTTAAACTTATCGCAAGCAAGACTCTTACAAGCCAGCGGACGCATCACCATCTCCCGAACTCCAAAGAACGTTTGCACCTGCTCAAACCTGTTGACCAATTGTACTCATACGTGGTACACGCATTGGACGTTCTACCCGCATGTCTTCGTATTCCCGCCGAATGACATACGCTGCATACTCTGAATATCTTTTGCCATCTTGACTTCCACATCACTATGTGGCAGTCTTTCACAGTAGAGAATAACACAAAGCAGAGGGACGAGATGAGAGATGTCTTCTTTCCTTGGTATCGGTAAGAAGGCTGCTATTTCGGAGCTCATCATATGGATGCCATGTCATTTGGCGGGTAGAACCGGCTCGAGCGTTTTGGGATATCCGAATGGTCCAAATGATGAAATGGTATCCATATCCAGGCATATAGTGAAAATTGAGTCGTGCAGAAAAATGAAGCAGTCTCCCTGCCATGCTGCGGTGTCAGTTTGTGTCTAAGCGTCCCTAACCGCTTCACGCCCCGCGGAGACCCTTACGAAGCCTTGCTTCCGGAACCCTCGCATTCCGAGTTGTCAGAATCAGAACAGTCCAAATCACCGATAAATCACCCCAGGCAAGAACCTCAGGCACCTGTACTGGGAGTCCCAGACCCTTGTGCAATCCAAAATGCCTATACATTATGAGCAAATGGCAAAGTTTTGCCGAGCAAACGGCAGTAGCAACTATGTTGGGAGGCTAGTTCACGGGATCACGTATCTAACCCTGCTCACGACAACGGCTGCAAATGGAACCGGCCTGCGCCTTTCCCTGCAGACCACGCCGCCGCAAGGACAGTGACGCAGGATCCTTGGCCACGGCACGTCCTGTCCTGCCCTTGATCTTAACTATGCAGAGGTTGTCTCCACATGTCCCAGTAAGGATCGGGCGCTTGGACAGTCTTGGCCGTCCCTGACTTTCCGGTTGGTAATCCTGCAGAAGCTACAGTCCTGTTTCAGTAAAAGGGAGGTGCTTGAATTCCTGCGATGATATCATCATGCAACCAAGCATCATAATTTCCACGAAGCCACCTTCCTCACCAAATTTGACGCCATCCAGGTTCTGAGCCTTATCGCGCAGGAAAGGATGGACCCGTTCAATGAGAGGAACTTCTGCACCTGCTTATCAGAGCCTGAGATCCCCGCATCCGCCTTGAATTTTGCGACCGACGGCATGCTGCAAAGCCTGTGCAAAGCTCTTGTTGGGCAGCTTCTTATTTGTATGTTCCAGCCTGTTCTCTGCGAAGGCCACCACTGCTTTGCCGCCATCGGGAATCTGCGGAATGCAGCCGATGCAGACGTCAGTTGTCACCTAGCACCTCTGGTCGATAAGGCTGAAAGTCGAGGCTCCATGATTGTCATCTGGACGCGGACGAAGCCTTTAGCACCTTCAGAAGCAGCAAGTCAAGCTGAAGCACAAGCAAAGCTGCAAACCGCAGTTTTGGCTGGCCTCTGCTAATCCCCACTGCCATTTGATGTGGCTTCGCTGTGTTGAGCATGATTTTGGACGTGGCTTCCTCAGGGACATGAAGCCAGCGTCGTGTACGCTTCATGCCCGTGGTACGCCATAGGAAATAAAACGTACGTGTAAACGGACCACTTCAAACTTGCATACATAGAAACAGCAAAAACAGCAAAGTGCATTTGGCCTTGCAGCGCAGGATGAGGTCCTGCTTGAGAGATTCCTTCCTGGCCACCAGTTCTGCCATCTCTTTGAAAGTTTATTGGGCTACCATCATGGCTACCATCCTTACAGTGTCTAGTCAAACTGAAGATGCTCCGATTCAGCAGAGCTGATGAACCTAGAATACCACAAAACAAGGCGCAAGTCAATGGAATCACATGACCATCTTAGAAAGGACACTGTGTTCCCTGCCACGCGTGCAATTGCGAAAGGCAGAAGTTGAAACTAGATATTTACCCGCGCTCTTAGATTTGGACGTCCTTTCCTTGAAAATTCGTGTTGCTGAGGTAAGCAATCGTAGTCATTGCCACACGCATTTTTCAGATCTAATCTACTCATGACAAGTTCCTCTCCAGATCATATTTTCTGTATTCAGCGTGCACCGATTAAAAGAAACCGGGACACGGCGAATATGGCATGGCTTGTGAGCTCTGAGGTTGCAAAATGCCTCTCAAGACCTCTCCAAGGAGTCTTCTAGCCATCATGCACACTCGAACATTCATCCTTCACACACTGCCATGCGAGCGGCGCATGTGTTCACGCACCACACAGTCAATGACAGTAAACGCCTTTGAACCTTGCTTCCGTCAAGTTGCTTGGGCTAAGCCTTCAGTTTACGCTTGTGTTCTCCACGATTGATCGAGCCCTGCCTGCAAATATGGGCATGGATGATTTGCTGCTGGCCCGGCGGTGATGCGTCTCCATACTATCGGGGCTCAGCACTTTCCAGGCTTAAGCTTCTTGGACTGCGAAAATGCCAAGAAAACCCGTGGAAGATCAACGCGGAGCCCCCTAAAAAATCCGTATGCATGGTATGTCCACTAAGAAACCAACATCTCACACCATGCTAACAAGTAAATCAGTTGCATCTGTCTTTGCGATGACTCGTCTTGGCAAACAGCATTCAAACTTGCAGGTGCCGCGCTTGAACTGCAGCAAAGAAGAGCCCGTGCAGATCAAAGGTAAAAGACACCTTCGTATGCAGTGGAACTCTCTTGGTTTCAGTTTGGACCTACTCCAATGGCTTGTTGCGTACTCAACCACCTTGGCTGCAGCAACATGACTGGACTCTTTCAAAACATATGCCTTTGTTATGAACTTTTGCAGAAAGCACGTTGAGCAAACCAGACCATTGCCCAGCTGTAGATTGCAAAGTGCTCAGGCTGTGGTTGGGCATGGTTTTTGAGGCGCAAGGACAAGGATGATTGCTCTCCTGTACTGCAAATCATCTCGGTGGGTCTACTCAGTACCTTAAGACAAGATGAGCAACAGACAACCGCCAAAGTTTCACCAGTTCATAGATTCATGGACACCAGAACCAACTTTCAGGGATGCTCAGGTCCATGCCACGCCGAGGGTCTTGAGTGCCTGGACGGCTTGTCAAAACTGCAGTTTACTGACAAACATGCGTTAATGCACACTTTGCTGAAAATCAACGGTCCATTGACACGTTTGGAGACCCATGCTGGTGACCTGGCCTTGGTGCGCAACTCAGATTATCCTTCGTAGTGAAACTAGAGATGCACATATACATAAAAACATACAAACATATACAAGCATATACAAACATGTACATACATGCATATAAACATATATACATATATACATATATACATATGTACATATTTACATATATACATATTTACACATATACCTACATGCTTTGTGCATATATACCTTTGCACGTGATGCCCCTGACAACGCTTCAAAAAACAACCCTCCAGGAGAGATCTCTCAAATTGAAGCTCCAAAACCGAAGCAGACTCTAGCGAGCCAGCATTAGCGTCTAATCACCTTGGCTTCCATTAGGTCACTAGGGCAACTCGCTGTTTAGCATTCCATTTCAATAGGACACCTCTGAACGCGTAAAAAAATTCAATGTGAGATGTTTGGCGAAGAACTGCTCTGTTGGCACTCGTGCCTGCGCTGCAGGAGATATGCACTGGTGGCCGTCGAAGAAATTATCGTGCTCCAAGCACTCCTGATGGGTGGGAAGCATCAATGCGCAATGTCTTCGGCACATTTCGGCACCACGCAGCTCACAGACCTCACCAGCCGGGCCATGCTTTGGTCCACAACAGGCCTCCATAAGCGCGTCAGCTACGCATGCTACGCAGATGCAAACCATTCAGGTGGGACTGCAGGGCGGTCCAAACCTGCAACTACAGTGCTCTAAGTTCAACATGACCCGAAGGCCTTCCCCACTCCACACCAGCTGCACCATCCGGTGAAATTCCCGCATGCCTGCAGGGTAGATGAGGCTTGTGCAACCACCCTGATCCAGCAACCTTTTCTACCTGCCGCAAATCCTGAATGGTTTGCCAGAGCGAGAGTTCGATTTCAAGGCAAAATGTGAAGACGCTCCACATGAGAGAGCGGCTTTGAAGCAAACTGTGAGGAGGCTGGACGCGAGAGCTCCATGCCAAAGCACAAAATAAGGACGCTCTGCGCAAGAGCTTGATTTCACGGTACAATGAGAACGGAGAATACAAATTGTGCAAGTGATGAAACTCTTGAAAATGACAGATATGATGAAAACTCATGAAGGTGATGGAGATCATGAATGAAAATCACGCGATAAGACAAAGCATGCCGATGGAAAAACATGCAAAAGAATGAGATTAGAAATGACGGAAACTGCAAATGGAGGGGGTTGGGATGGTTGGGGAGGGCCGACCCTTTTTCCAGGAGGGGAGGGGAGGGGAGGGGGGGGGAGGGGGCGGGTGGGGAGGGGGGGGGAGGGGGAGGGGTGAAGTCTGTGATTC